CTGTTTCCTAATCAATTATTTAAATTGCTTTTACGGCGTTCATGTTTTAGCTATAGAGTCTGTCTTTACCACCAAAATTTCCCAATGTGGCAATTCGACTTACAAGTAAACTAACTATTTATTGTAGACTGGATTTAACGCCTGAATTTTGCTTTTACTTTTGTCCCAAAAGGTGATTGACGGTTTTTACCCATATACATTTCATTGATACTCCTCCAGAATTTCACTTTTTCCGAGATCTTTTTCCTTATTGATTTGTGTATGTTCTTTAAAGACAAACAAGAAGAGATTAGAATTTACCAAATTTATTTTTTGGGTTTGTAATGGGCATATTTTTAGTCACACTAAGCTTTTGTCCTCCTTCGTAAATTTTGTCTTTCTATACGTATGGGGATTATCGCTATATACAAACTCATTTAAAGGGTTCTTTTTGCAATGTCGAAGTAGGTGTTGCCCTCTAATAAGCAGCAAAGTTTTAAGAAAATTACTAGAATTTCTTATACACTTTTTCACTTATTAAGATAGCCTGATAATTACTATATTAACCCTAATTAATCTTACTCATCGTTTAGAGTTCATCAGATTGGCTCAAGTGGCACAGATCCTCAACACCCAGAGACGCGGGCAATTCTCTTTGATGAAGTTGTTTATTCCCGTCGCAAGATCGCTGACTTCCTCGCTACCCTTGCCGCCTTAGAGACCATCACTCGTCTTCTTCCGAGAGGTGCTCTATCAGACGCAATTCGCTCTGGGCTTTCCACCAACCAAAAGCGAGAGGTTTGCTTATCGACAAAAGTTCCTTCATTTGGTGGTAATGACGTTGATACTCCAGCCACGTCTTCTCTGCTCCTGGGTTTGCTGAATTTTGCTCCTGAGGAAGCTGGTGATATGTCTGGTGAAGAAATTCAGTCTGCTTCTCAGATTAAGGGAAGGTTTCCCCGCTTGGACAATAAATTAGCCTATTTTACAAAGGCTTTTGATCATGAAACGGCAAAGCAGCAAGGGAAAATAATTCCTGAGTCAGGTGTAGACGCAGATTACGATGAAGCCATAGAGGAGGTCGAAGTAAGTCTCTTCTATGCATTCCGGTTGTTAACTTGGCTTATCTTTTAATTTTTATTCCCATGCCACTCTATTGTAACTTCTCAGACCGATTTTTCTATGTTGCAATGTATGTTGCGCTAAAATTAATCGCATTGAATATTCATTAATTGATAATTCACCTTTTCTTCTGGGTTGCAAATCTCACCGGAAAAGGCAACTTAAGGGAATTTAATCATTAGTTATCAGCTTGATTTTAAGTCATTTTGGGAATTTGATACTGTCAATATTTGCTGTCTTTTCACAGGTATATATTAATTTTTGCAACGATATGTTTAAGACATTATTTTTCACTTTATGAGTTTTACCTGGGCGGGCAAAAGTATTATGCAGAAACATTTCAATTTTCATACCATTGTCATATTTGTCTTTTTTGCAGATTTGCTATTTTACTGGGTCATCAAATTCATAAAGCTCACGGCATCATCCCCATTTATCAGTAATATAAAGCATCGGAATTGAGCCGGCTCTAACTTCTGACTCCGCTTTTATTTAGCACTTTATGCAAGTGGCTACCTGAATCTTGGACTTTCTTTCACTTATTGATCTATTTGATCGCAAAAAAGTGTAAAACACGAAGCTAGGGTTCAACACACTCAGGGTCCATAGGCGTATATCTACTTATCATATCCGCCATTAATTAATTCTTCTGGAATAGCTCTTGTAGTCGCTATTTTTATTTGTATTTATCGTGTGGCTGCCCTGGCCACTCGCTGATGTTCCTTTTTGACAATGTCAGTCTAAAATAACTTCACATTTTATTTTTAGGATATAAACAAACAGCTAAATGATTATTTGCTCATGAACCAACGGCGTATACGAACGAGGGTAAGAACATTCTTTGCTCTTGATATGTTTTAATAAAAAAAGTAGGGGATAACAGCTTTCAAATAAGTTTTTCTTTTATAGAGAGCGAAATATGACCCTTTTTCCAAATCAGGCCGATCCTATGTTAGAAGGGCCAGTTGCCTCACTTGCCAAAGACCAGCGGGACAAATTATTTTAAAGGTTTTGATCACGAAGTCATCAGTTTTAGAGCAAATGGCAGAAAATGGAGATGAAATAGTGCTATGATATTCTCCGGTTTGAGGATTATGCTATTTCTATAGCAAAACGCAAAATTAAAGGAAGCCATTAAGATAGGGATGATTTTGAATGTTAAAAATGGTGGTAAATTAAATAAGAGCCACTTATGCTTGATTGACAGATTTAAGGATGAATATGCAATATTGTTGTAACCGAATCTTGATAGTTATCTCTCTTTGCATGAGGGAATAACCGAATTAAGTGTCAGGGTTTCTAATCAAAACATTTAGTTCACCACTTTCTTACTAAATAGCTTATCTTCTCTGTAAAAATGAAGAAGAGGTTAGGAAGGTAGGTATCAGCCTGCATATTTATGACCGGATAACCTGTTTAAAGATTTATTACTTAATAAAAAAATATTATTCTCAATTAAGCTTAAACTTTAATTACTTTCTGGAGATAATTGTTTTGGTATATCTAACTATTTAGCAAAATGATTTCTATCATCAAGCCTCATTCTCCCAGTAATAATCGAACCCAAAATTGTAACCTTATTTTTGTAACTATACTTAGCAATAAAATTTAGAATATAACTAATAGTCTCCATCCCTCATAACCAGAATATACAAAACATTAAACTTACTCTCTTCTAAGGTATGAATTCCAACATGGTATGGTCTTTAGTATGGTCGCTGTCTCCTTTCTTTGTTCAGAAGTTGTCTGACCTTGTCTTCGTAACTTGGTCTTATTGTCAGGAAGACCTAGAGGAACGCATCTTATTCTGATTCAGTAGTATGCATGATACTTTCCAGAATCGGATTGTGGGCTTGATACATTACCGGATGTTTTACCAACATCGTAGTCGGCATTTTCAATGGACTTTGCCGTTTTTAGCAACACACTAAAACTCGCTAAGGTAACAAAAGAAGTAAATCCTTTGACCCAGCATCTGATGGATAATTTTGATACCTCTTCTGTCTTCGTGCCTTAATCTGTCTTATATGCGAGTATCACCTCTACATTATCACAATTTATTACCTGTAAGTTTAAACCCAGTTCAGGTGTGCCATTTTGAGCAGATTTGTTGAAACCTATTCACAACCCCCGCTGCTTCCTTCATCCCCACCCACCGTGCTGGGAGATTGATCAAAGTTTGCCCTTTTGGTCTGCAATCCTTTTCCTCCAAGTTCTATCAGAGTCTCACTCTTGCTCCGTAGGATTCGTCTTAGCTCCCTGGTTCATTGATTTTACTCGATCACTACTACCATACCTGTGCTACTCGAGGCGTTATATCCCAGATTCTATGTCAAGTCTTTTTAGCACGTATCCGCCAGCCTCATTGAGCGAGCCCTCAACGTCTGTATTTATGTGTGGCATGGAAAACTAACTTGATACTGCATGTTCCCTTATCATCATCTTATACACTTATATTACCTCTTCACTGTCACAATTTCTTACTTATTTAAACCCAGTTCAATTGTGCCTTTTTGAGCAGATTTATTGAGACCTGCACTAGCATGTGCATCAGCTAAATTTTGCGGTCAAGCCTTTATTTCGGGGGCCACGTCTATGATCAAACTCATCTACTAATAGCCTATATATAGTATTCCCAGCTCTATCACTCTTCTATACATAATGCCAAGTATAGGACATTCTTATGTCCTAGTCTCTTGTGTACCGACTCTCAAATGTGATTGTTCTACTTGATTTGAGTGGGCTCATTGTATACGCCCCCTCTTGGTCTTCGATTGTTTTTCTGTGGTCTCCTTGTGATTTCTTTTCCCCAAATTGAAAATATTTCCTTGATCTGGTAATTTTTTGCTTATCCTGTTGTTTCCTGATCGCTGAATTTGTTTAAGCAATATGTATGGTTTTTGCTATGTCTTCTTCCAGTTTCGTTTTCACTGAAATTCCTTTAGTCAGGATGTCGTTGGCCTCTCGTTTATTTGTATTTTACCATATGCAACCAGCCTTTCTGTCGATTTCTTGTCTTTCCGCGCAATGTGTTCCGCTATTTCATAGCTCTTCGCATCCATGTTTCTGCAGTCTTAGGTGCTCCTTGATTCTTAGGCCGATTTTCCTTCCTGTTTCACAAATATAATTCTGATCGTAGTTGCCACATTCGATTCGATGAACTCCCTAGCAATACAGTCTGTCAACTTTCTCGTATTTTGTCGGCTGGCTGGTAAGATTGGTGTCTTCTTTTTTATCACTTTGATATTCCATTTTCTTAAAAATGTTCGCGATTTTGCACTCGGTTCACAGGATTGCAGCCATATTCACTTTTGGTCGTCCTCCGAATTCCTAATTTTATTTTCATAATATCCATTTTGACATCTGCTCTTTATGACCCCTATATTTCTTTCTATGAATTCTCTGGAGCACCCGTTACTATGACGAATCCGAATCCGTTTTGTCAACTCCTTGTCCCAAAACTCCATATAGGCTAGTCTTAAGCTTCTGATAATCAAACTCTTCAATATTCCGATATTGACTCTTTGCTTGTGATGAGATTGAAATTTGAGTATTTTTCCCGCATGCAAATAGCCTCTTCTTGAGTATCCCGTTGGAGCACTTAACCTCAACATCCAGGAAAGGTAGCCACTCACCCTCTTCATTGTTAATTTAATTCTTCCATCAAGTTGGTTTATAAAGTTGAGGAGTTCATCTAAATTTTCCTTACCATGTGTCCAAAGTACAAAGTAGTTATTCAGGAATAACATAAATACTGCTAAACGTAGCTATGAAGCTGAAGATCGTGTGGCTTCTTTTTTGGTCGCAGTCTCTTTTCTATATATACAAGTGGTCTGACTTCGTTTTCATAACTTGATCATGTTGTCAGGGCGACTTGGCTGGACGCACCTTGTCCTAAATCTTCTGGTATGTTAATTATCATAATAACCGGCGTCGGACAATGGAATTGATACATTCCTAGACTTTTTGCCGGCATCGTTAGTGAGTCTTGCCATTCTCATCACCATGCTACAACTTCTCCCTCACGAGGCTTTATACTTTATCATGAATCTACATGCCTTCACTACTCTGAATATCTTTTTCGAAGCCTCAAATCATATATCTGTGAGAGTTGTTCATTCTCTGTTTTGTACCATAAATAGTTGTTTTTCTTCATCCTATTTCTTACTATTGAATTTTTATGGACTAAATTTATTCTCATCCTCTTCAACTCTTGATCCTGGCGATTTGCGCCTGCTAGACGCATTTCATAAACCCTACTTTGACCCTATTTGTGCGACTAGGGAATAAATTAAAGAGATTCACATTTGTCGGCTTGCTCTATACATCCCTGCCAAAGCTTATATTCTTCTTTATCACCTTTGGCATCTAAAATGAGTCATTTACTTACTTTTTATAACTCCATTGTCAATTTAGTAGTTCTTATTAATCTTTTAACCATCATTCAAATGTATTCCAGATTGCCATATTGAACCCGGCTAATTTCTAAGTGCTTAATAGTTTAAATTAAAATATCTAAAATAAATAATCACTAATTTCAACTAATACTTATTTTTGTATATCTCACATTGACACAAGCTTTCCTATTGGGGAACTGGACGCAACCGATTCCAAATCGAGGTTCCAGAGTCCGCCGTATCACAAGTTTCTCGCAGTTGGGAACTGGCTTCACAACGTAAGGGCTTCCAACGATTTCGAACCGCCGAGACACGCGACTGGCTGACCCAAATGACCGCTGCTGAAGACCGCAAGGACGCAGCCCTACGTAACATTATGCGTAGGATATTTGGCAAATTCAGCAAGGAGTAAGACCTTTTGAACAAATAAAATTTTGTTTCCATTTTGAACAAGCACAATCAAGGAGCTTTGAGTATTTTTTCTCTCATCAATGAACTTAACCAGAAAAAGCTTCATGCAGAGAAATTACTCATTTTATCGAGTAAAGTTAATAAGTATCAACGCGATGAATAAGAAAATTTGTAAACGTTTGTTGTTTTTAAATAATCCTATCATTTTTATTCTCATTAAAAAGAAGGTAAAGGCTAATATGGACATGTTTCTGACACTTGGGCTCACGCGTGAAAGTAATTCGACTAGTGTGACTTCCAACCTGGAATAAACACATATCATTTGTAAACTCCATCGATCTAATTAGATCATGCATTGCACTATTCTTTAATTCCATCCTCCTTGTGAGAGTTTTAGTTTTTGGCAAGGTGTTCCCTCAGTCACTGCACCAATCTCTTTATGACTATGTTCTCTGGAATGAGGTCTCAAACTTAAAAGGTTTTATTTGTTTGCTTTACCTAATTTATACATTTCACTCAAGGAAGCTTTGTTTTTTCTTGTCGAATTAGCCATATTCCAGACTTAAGTTAGACCTGCATTTTTTTCCATTAAATCATGGAATTTAAACTCCGTACAACAAATAGCAAAATCCAACGTAAGATAATTTAGCTGCAAACTACAAAATTTTGGCATAACCCTGTGAAACAAAAAGTTATCGAAATGAGTTAGATATTTCGCCTTCTGCATAACCGTCATTATAACCTCGAAAAGCTTTATAAGTGTTTTGGCTGTCAACCCGTTGTATTTGATAATTATGTGTTTTTCTAGTCGTTTGCTATTTTAGTGAAGACTAGCCTTTATTGGCGGTCGCTTATGATGCTGTCTGTTGTATGAATCTAAAATAACCCTCGTCGGAAATATTGTCGGGTGTTGATTAGACCTAGGCGAGGTCTAAACTGCAGTCCACTCTGAATGAAAACATCTTTTGTGAAACTCAATGGAAACGTCAGCTCTATTCATATCATTGTGGGAAAATTTGACTAGCAGTTCTTCATCACTTTAAATGAAATAGGGTCAATACACCTCATACTATATCTGTCCTTTTAGACTCCCTCTCTCCGTATGATCATTCTCTCATCTTCATTGTCCAGTGATTTCATTAAGTCATATATGCTTTTCATTGGCCATCTCATAGCGTGAATACGCTAGCCTCTTTGAGCAGGCCACCAAAGTCTGGATTATCAAACTGGATAAAGTACCATCTTAATGCTGCAGTTTTCCTTATCACATTTAGTAATTTGCTCAGGGGACATCTCGTAGTCAAGCCTTTGCTTCACGGACCACATCTATGATCAAACCCGTATACTATGAGCCAACTATCTCTGGCCTCCCTTGCCTCTTGCGTCTCTGGCCTTCCTATTCCCTATTCCCTTATGTGCCACCTCCAAATTTTGTGGTCGTCAACTTTTTTAACTAGGTTTACTTCAGAAATTTCCTCTTATTTTCATACTGTCTCCCATGGTCTTCTTGTGATTCTTTTTGTTTATGCTAAGAATATTTCCTTTATCTAGCCCTCTTTTTTAATCTCCTTCGAGTTTGTTTAGACAAATTCAATATATTGAGGCTTATTCCTGTTTGCATTTTCTGTATAAATATTCTTCTCCCGGCATTTAGATATCGTGGCGTTGTTATTACTCCACTACATAGCCACACGTGTTAGTTGGTGATAGGGCAAACTAGGCCTCTCTCGAATCGCATTTATATTGGGAATATCGATTAAGCGAACATGCATTTAATATTGCAATGGATTAAGTTATTTATTTTCGGTGTAAGTAGGCTTCTAGACTATCATTAGTCCTTGAATAAGGACTGCGAAATCCTGTTATTACCCTTGAATTACTGATAGTCCCAAAATCTACTTATATAGAAAATATATAAACTCATTGATTATACTCGTAAATATATTTTTGTATAGTAGGCAATCACACTATAAATATGATTTAATAGCGACATAGCTTTGCTTAAATGTCACATCTGCCTTGTTATCCACTGGCACCCATGTATATTAAGTGGAGTGGTAATGTTGTAATGCCAGTCAAATGTCAGGTATTGAATCCCTCTGGAGGCGCTAATGATAACTAGACGATGTCTTTTCTGCACTTCAGCTTGTGTGAAATAAGCTTTTGAGAAACATGGCTAAATGAAATTCATTGGCATCGTGAAGCCTACTCAACTCGTTAGGGAAAAACTCAATTATCAGTTTTTAATTGAGTGAATAAGATCTTGTTCAGGAATTATTGATAGTCTATCAATCTACTGACATTGAAAATATTTACTCTTTACTTTCAATCTCCTACCCCCAGCTCTCTTTCACTCCTCTGCATCTGCATACTTAGTCACATCTCTGATTCCTACCTCTTCATATGCTCACGTAGTTCCATAGATGCATCTGCCTATTGCTCATTAAGGCTTTTATTTTTTGCATCACGCCTCGGTCTAAGTCGGTCTTTCTGGGTTCGGATGTATAATATGACTGGCCATAGCTCGGCCCTGGACCCCATGACCTTTAACGGCTTTATCTGAAATAATGTATATCTTATTATAATTTACAGTCTGCAGAGAAATTGAGAAGTTCTATCATAGTTTTATTTTCTCCATAATATTTCGAAAGTCAATTCGTTTATTTGAAGTTTGAAAATAATTGTATTAACTTTACATTAGATTGAAATATATTACCAGTCGTTTAAATATCACTGATATTTAAAATATCTAGAATCTATTTGAATCAATTTAGTCTACCAAGATGTGATTCTTCATCTATATTTTAAGCTGGGAAATTCAGAATTAAAATAACGACAAAATATTATGAGCCCCTATAATAATTAATGACTTTAACATACACATATGGATACATTTCATTTTCTCAAGCTCTCAAAACTTGTAGAACCGATTGTTCCTTTTGAATGCTGTCTTATCTGACCTTTTTTTCTCTGTTAATTTAAAATCACAACAAATCCTTGAAGCCATTGTAATCTAAAAGAAGAGGGGAGTCTATAAAATATAAAACGCTTACACTCTGAAACGTAATATAAGGTTGGATGCCCCGGAATCAAGAGAGAAAAAGAAAAGTCGTGTCACGAAGTGTCCTATTTAGAACCATCTTAATTACAGTGTACGGCTGAGGATATAAATTCATTTATCAAAGGCGGCTCAAAATAGAAAAGTCCAAACTTAGTGGGTCACAGCGGAGCGGAGAAAAAGAATAAATAAACCGTGACCGACCTAGATGTTATGTTTGCTGCTTGAACTATCCTTGCTTAGTTTTGACTGTCACCTGATTGATTCAAAAGATTCTGTATCAAGCTTTGATTGGTCTACATGAAATAAAGTGAGGATCCGTCATACTTTTAGGCAGTCTTTTTATCAGGTGTTGAACCATGGCTGCGCACTTGTAACAAAACTAAATATTGAATAGGAAGATGTAGGCATAGGTCGCTATAAAGATATGCTAAAGAATAAATTTTAATAACTTCGCTTGATTATAGACATGAAAAATTCAAGGTCTCCCGGTAACAATAGGTATCCTGAGTCTAAATGTCATTATTACTGGATTGA